GGGAAATTGAAAAAATCTATAGATTCTCAGGCCCCACTCCTGACTCACTGAATCAGAAAATTCATGGGGGGAGTAGCTTAGGAATCAATACTTTTAGAAGAGCATCAAAAATGATATGATGTTTGGAGTAGCTTCTAGATAATCTGTGGATGGGGCAGTGTGGAGAGAAGTAAGAGTGGTCATTAGTTGATAATGACCAAAGCTGAGTGATGAGCTTATGGGGGTTAATTTTACTATTTTCTCTGCTTTTGTGCATGTTTTAATTATTCCATAATAGACCATTAAGAAAATAAAAAACAAAAAGAATCATCAAGAATTCTCTAGATCAGGGCCTGCCTGGTGGTGCAGTGGTTAAGTTTGCATGGTCTGCTTCAGCGGCCTGTGGTTCTTGGTTACAGATCCGGGGCTCAGACCCACACACTGCTCATCAAGCCATGGTGTGGCAACATCTCACATACAAAACAGAGCAAGATTGGCACAAATGTTAGCTCAGGAACAATATTCCTCACCAAAAAAAAAAAGTCAGTTTGTTTTTTTTGTTCCTAAAGATTGGCACCTGGGCCAACAAGTGTTGCCACTCTTTTTTTTTTTTTTCTGCTTTATCTCCCCAACCACCCCACACACCCCCCCGTACATAGTTGTATATCTTAGTTGCAGGTCCTTCTGGTTGTGGGATGTGGGACACCGCCTCAACATGACCTGACGAGCAGTGCCATGTCCGCTCCCAGGATCTGAACCCTGGGCTGCCGCAGCAGAGCGCGCAAACTTAACCCACTCGGCCACGGAGCTGGCCCCAAAAAGTCAGTTATTAAAAAAAAAAGAATTCTCTCGATCAAGTAGTTTTGAGACCTCCTTGTCCTAACACACTGAGTAGTCTCACCAATTTGTAGACAGATATTGAGGGAGGGACTGAAGTGTCTTATCTAAGAGGGACATTAGTGTTATCTGCTCCCTGTGATCTTGTGATTTATAGCCAGAAATATGTATCTGATCTTCATCTCCAGTCCCTGACCCAGAGCTCTTAAAACCCGTGTAAATTCCTAAGTGATAAGAGCACTAGGAGCATCTTTTGTCCCAGACTCTGGGTGGGCCCTGGATAGGGCTGGTCACCAGAAAGACCAAGTCATGGTTAGAAGCTTGGAATTTTTAGCCCCACCCCTCACTTCTCTAGACAGGGAAGGGGGGCTGGAAATGGACTTAGGTGATCCTTTCTACACGAGGAAGCCTCCATAAATCCCAGTAGTATGGGGTTCAGGGAGCTTTCAGGTTGGCAACACATCCACATAACGGAGGGTGATGTACCCCAACTCCACGGGGACTGAAGCACCTGCACTTGGGACCCTCCCAGACCTCGCCCTATGTGTCTCCTCATATGGCTGTTCATCTGTATCCTTTACTATTTCCTTTAACAAACTGATAAATATAAGTAAGTGTTTCCCTGAGTTTTGTGAGCTGTTCTAGCGAATAATCAAATCCAAGGGGGAGGAGGTCATGGAAACCTCTGATTTATAGCCAAGTCGGACAGAAGTTGTGGGTGACTTGGGGACCTGCTACTTGTGATTGGCATCTGAACTGGGGGACTGGGCCCTTAACCTGTGGGATATGACACTATCTCTAGGTAGATAGTGTTGAAATTGAGTTAAACTGTAGGACACCCAGCTGGTGTTACAGAAAAACTTGGTGTGGGAAAAACTCCCATACATTTGGTGACCAGAAGTGTCAGAAGTGAGGTGTTCTGTGTGAGTAATAAAGGAAAAACACAGGAGGACTGTGTTTTTCTTAACCACTCCCCAAACAATCAGTGGAGCTATCATCCCCAAACGTTATAGAATGTGGGAGTCAAAGAGCCAGAAGAATCCCGAGAAGTCAAGTCTCCCCCGGTCTGGCACCATTGGCACAAACCACTTCTAGCAAGAGGGTGGTCTATTTGTGGCAGAATTTGCTCTTTTCCTGGACTTGCTAAATAACCAGAGAAGGAAAGCTCATGAGACACTTCATTACATGGGGTATTTTCTCCTGCTCAGAAAAACCAGCGCCACTTGCCCAGCTGCAGTGAAAAGAGTCAGCATGCAGCATCTGGGGACAGGCCTGCCTGGCACTGGGGAGCAGCCCACCAGGCCTTGCCCCCGACCTGGCACCCGGGGCAGACAGAGGTGTGTGTGTGTCCGCCAGCCCACACGGCGTGCAGGGGGACAACAGCAAGGCAGAGTGCTGAAACATGTGGCTCTGGGTTGCTGAGACCTAGGAACAAATCTGCTTTGGTAACTGCTGTGGGTGAGTGTCGAACCTCTTGGGGCCTCGGTTTTCTTATCTGTAAAATAAAAATAATGATAGTGCGTGTGCCATGGCTTGAGGGGAGAACTGGAGGTGGCGCATGTGGAGCATTAGCAGAGATCTTGGGGCATGAGGGGGGCGTCACTATTTTTGGAGCCTAGCTGTCTGTTGTTCTTCCCCTCCCCGGAGCAGAAGCCATGGGTGCTTTGCCTGCAGGCCCAGTATCTTCCACTCAGGGTGCCCAAGACCACATCCAGCTGCCAGCAGCTGCATCTCCTTGCCTGAGGCCTTTTTCTGTGGCCACAGAAGGTCTCTATGCCCCCAGGTAAGCAGGACAGGAGCAGTCCTCAAACCCTGCACATGATTACCACAGCCTCTCCTCTCCACCATCTCCTGAGTCTGAGAAGCACCCGCCGGGGCTGGTGGGATACACTCTGTGTTGGCGTCCTTCCCTTCCTGTCTCCCTTCACTGCTCCTCTATGATGTTTTCCTTCACCTCCCAAAGAAACAAGCTGTGCTTGAGTCCCTTCTCAGGGGCTACTTCTAGGAGAACCCAAACCATGACACTGCCTCCACCTGCCGTGTTCTCCTTATTCATTCGGCCCTTCAGGGCCTCACTCATGCAGACCACAGACCTTATGTCTGTCCTCCTGCCTCTGAGGTGGTAGGCGCTATGTGCCACCAACAGCCACCTCACCACAGCTGTGGCCAGTGCTATGGCAGGCACAGTGCACCCCTGTCTCCCTGCGATCTGCCTGGGACTACCTCACCAAGCTCGAAAGCCTGTGAGGTACTTGCTGCTGTGCTGGAGGTGAGAGCTTCCCTGCAGTCACCCATGGTGGTAGCTGGCTGGCAACACATGCTTTATTTGTCCCTCTACCTCCCAAATAAACCACTTCACTCAAATCCTTGCCTCAGGGTTGGCTTCTGGGAACCCACACTAAGACAGTTGGTATTAGAAGGGGTCCAGGCAGCAGATCCTCAGTCTTGGATCATTTCCTGCTCAGGTGGCAACAAGGAGCTGGTTCTTAGTGGTGAGTGGGTGATAATATCCTCCTGGCATGCTTTAGCATCACAGTTATGAAGACTCTCTTCTCCTGTGAATAACTGGGACGTGTGCTGCTGATTAAGCAACTGCAGCTCAGCCTGGTAACCCCTACTATGTGGTGTTGGAGCTAAGACTCTGAACACCACATATTTCCACTCTGCAGCTGCTCCCTGTTAGGCTCTAGGAGGCCCTGAGGATGCTGGAGGGACACTGGAGGCTGGAGGAGGAAGAAGGGATTTGCTTCTTCCTGTTTGCTTCCCACTGGTGTCAGGGTCACTCCAGGAATTGTTCTTCACTCTGGTGGTGAAATTGGTTCCAAAGCAATATTTAGTTCCAATTAATGGTTTTTCCCAGAGCCAGCTTCATGGCATCCCCTCAGGGATGCCACCTCCAACTAGATGGTGCCCTCGTCTCAGACAAAACTCTCCCCTATGTTCTCAGTCCTGGGGTCTTAGTTTCTTCCTGCAATTACTACGTCTGTGATATGCAGTGAGGGGGGCCTCAGGGGTTCCCAGACTGCGGGACTCTCAGTGCTAAAACTAGCATAGTTCTGGGCAAGCCAGGATGGTTGGTCTCAATGTTCCCTTTTTACCTGTCCAGTCCCTCAATACCTGCTTTAAAATTCTCTATATTAAGTTCTCTCTGTAAAAATAACTGGTGTGGTTTATGATTCCTGACTTGAGCCTGACTAGTACAGGATGGGATGTGCTGCCAGAAGATGCACTGGCTGACACAATATCACTAACATTTGAGAGGTATGGTGGCAATGGTAATTAAAAGCATTGTTGAAATGGTTGGGGATGGTTAGGTGCATCAGTGCACTGAAGGAAGATAACGGTAGGCTCAAGTCAGCCAACCATCAAAGTAGGCACCAAATTAGAAGCCAGAAGGCCTCTGTGGCGCATGTAAAAGGACTGTCATCTGCTGTAGCTGGATGACACATCCTGCTGAAAATTAGGCTTAGGATATGATAAAAGTTAGCAAAGTCTGCGTTTATGGCCCCAGTAAGTATCCTATGCCAAAGTCAAAGGTCTGATAAAGAGGAATGGGACCCAAGGACCTGAAATGGGGACATCTAGGTAGATGTGCTTGAGAACTTTCACTCCTCAGATTCCCTGGAATTCTGGGCTTGCAGAAGAGGCCCACTCCTTGCAGAGGACAGCAGCCTCCCTTGGCCCCAAGATCATGCAGAGGTCTCACCTGAGGCAGAGCTTTACAAAATGATACTTGCCCTTCACAAGATTTCCTCCACCAGCCCTCACAGCTTCTAGGTCAGGGGTCAGCAAACATTTTCTGTAAAGGGACAGATAGTAAATATTTTGGCTTTGCAAGCCATACAGTCTCTGTCATAGCTACTCAACTCCTCAACTGTATCACAAAATCAGCTATATAATATGTAAATGAATGGGTGTGGCTGGATTCCAACAAAATTGTATTTACAAAAACAGGTTGTATTTGACCTATATATATATAGGCCATAGTTTGCCAATCCCTGTTCTAGGCCATAATTAGGCCTAGCATGTCTCAGTATGGAGAAGTGCTGTCCTTCCTTCGGAAAGGGCCATAGAACCCAGCTAACATGCACCAACATGATTCAGGAGGCCACAACTGGGAAGGAATCTTGAAAGTACTGGACTGGGAAGAAAAGATAACGCTGGAAAAGGGAAAGTTTATTGATATGTGGGCACTCTCCCATGACTCAAGATTTAGCATGCTGGTGAGGACACCTAGAGCCAGTCCTACTCTGCTGCTGAGATAATGACCTACAACTTGGAAATAATGATGGCCTCGAGTAAATGAGATGTTAATGCCAGAACTGCCTTGGCAGCAGAAGGGCTAGAATGTTCAGTGAGATAGGCATACAGAAATAGATTTATCATATGAGACCAGAGAACCTACCAATTAACCAGTCTCTCAGAGAACCCAGAAAGCACACTCTTTACTAGTAAAATAAGGAATATGCCAGTGAGGGAGCCACCAGCATTGTTGAGAAGCTCCGGGTGATTGTCCTTTCTAGGCTGCCGTGGGTCCAGGCTTCCACAGTGTTGGGGATGACATTTAGGATGATAGGCTTCAGGAAGAGCGCAGCACAGTTGACAGCACTTAATCATCAAAGGCAAGGTGGACAGATGATTGTAACAGCAGAAAAGTTGCAACAGCAACTTGGACCCTTATTTGGAGGAACCAGGGAGCAGTTACTAAGCAACTGTGGTGTTCCTAGCAGTAAGATTGGAATGTGTTGCCTGAACTGTGTCAAGAGCAGGTGAGCCAAAGACTGATGTCAGCTGCTGTAGTGAAAGATCTTGATCATTTTCTCAGTTTCCAGACCTGAGGCAGATGTCAGAGCCAGAGCCAGTCTTCTGAAGGAGAGCCAGGGTGGATGTCTTGAGGAATGGCCCTGCAATGTCACAGCAAGCATGCACAGTAGTGATTACTCCCATCATCTGCCACGAAAAGGACCTATGGCCATTTCTCCTAAGGCAAGAGAATGACTCAGATCTTTGAAGAGCTTTGGATAGAACATTTGAGCTGAAACCAATACCACAGGACCCAAAATGCCATCACAGCCCTCCTATTGATGTGGGGAAGTCCTGGCTTCAAATCCATCTGATAGTGAGTCCAATGGATCCGCACCCCTAGATGCTGTTCATTTCCCTAGTCCCTGAGTTTATAATTGGGATGGACATGCTTAATAGCTGGAAGAACGCTCTTATGGAGGAAGAGCCTTAAAGCTATAAAAAGCCAAGGGGAAACTCCTGAAACTTCCCCATTCCAGCTAAGAGAGAAAATCAGATGTAATGTTTCATTCTGGGTTAGAATGCCCCCTCAAAGACTTAAAGAAGGCAGAGGGATCCTTAATTGCGCTGTGACATCAGTTCTCTGGTGAATTCAAGAAAAGTTATCATTTTATTTTATTTTTTACATACTCTTATTGTTAGGGGAGGAGAAGAAACTCTTCCCAGCTCTCTCTGTCCTAGGTGGAAGGGGAAATCGTTCTAAGATTGTTAACAAAAAAATTTAAGGCATTTTAAAAGCTGGGTCCCAATTACAAACTGACTTATTGAACTATTTCTAACATTTAAAATAAGGATTTATAAACTTAATGCACTTTATTTCCTTTTTAAGGTACTTTGTCTGATGGATAAACCAAACCTTAGGTAATTTTGTAAATCTAATTAATTACAATTATAAACAGGATGAATTTAGGTCCTCTTAAATGTTCCTTTACTGTTTATAAACTTAGTAAATTTCAAATTAACAAGCACAAGTTTAAATCAATTACTTTTAATATGGAATCACAAAACTATTTTATTACTTACATATGCCAAAATCTCTTAAGCACTGCAAGATCTTAAATAGTAAATATGAACAGAATACTTATGTCAAGAATTGTGGAGAGTCTGAATTTTAGCCTACTTTTAAGCTAACGGGTTTGGTAAATGCTGGCAAAAGACACAAGACTCCTGGATCAGAGACAGAGGACTTTGTCACTCGCAGCAATAGTATCAGCATTTACACCAGTTCCCCAAGTCCCAATACCCAAGCGTGGTGTGAAGAGGGCCAGGTGATGCCTGCACACACAGTGGGTTGCAGGAGAGGAGCCCTGAGCTTAGGGAGCCTGAATCTTTTCTAATGGGCAGCAAGTCTGCTTGACTTTTGCTGTGGAGGAGACACTGTGTTTATCGTACTGGACAGTAAACAAAACTGCCCTTTGTTCTGGAGGGACAATCTGTCTCTGTTTTCTGAAGCTGTTTATCAAACATCCTTGAAAAGACAGTCCAGAACAAAGGCAGTTGTGCATCTGCTCACAAGAGTTGCGGAAATAGGAGAAACCCATGGAAAATTGCCTCTCAGTACCTTAACTACAATATATCCTTACTATGGGTTGATTCTCTTAAGCATTTCTAAATTTAAATCTAAATCTTTCTGTCATTGAAAGATGTTCTCCTCCTAAGGAATCAATTCCAAATAACTTTTGGGTTACCTCTCATACAACTTTTGTGGCTGCCTCTCAGTTAGCTGAGGAGTTGTTAATGACCAGTGGATCTCTGGCTGGAATCCTGCCCCGGTTCTTGTTAGCAATTTTGACTGCCAAGTTGATCCTGGCTGTACACTCACTCTGCCAACGTTCTCCAAACAGGGTCTCCCTAGCTGTCTCACCTCCATTTTCACATTTCACATTACACATGACCTCACTCTGCCGACTCATCCCAGAACACTCAGACCTCCAGCCGCAGCCTTTGCTTGGATTCAGCACATCTGTTTACATCTTTGTTGTTTTCATATTATCCCTACCTTTTAGACCACAAACCTCAGAGCTATTTCTGACTTTATGGTCTCAACACTTAAGAAGAGCACTTTTATTGAATTCTGTAAGGGGCTAGAAAAGGTTATCTTCTCACTTGAGTCTCTCCAGTTCTAGAAAGTGCCAAGTATGCCATTTGGGCTGAGGGAAAAGGGACATCCTTCCTCTGGAGGTCCCTTAGAGACATAGTAGTTATAGTGTCAGCCCCATGCTGTAATCAGGAGCTGGGTGATTCCACCCTCCCCAGAAGAGCCCTGGGCCCCCTGGCCAGTGCTCCACCACCAGTTGCTCTGCATGTCAGTGGAAGCCCCACCACCTCCCCAGGAGGACCACCCGCCACTGAGGCTGAGTCCAATGAGACAAGAGCCCACCCAGCACTTGAGTGTTTACTTTTATGGCACAGAAGGCAGCACCTGGGGAGAGGAGAGCCCAGACGACCCCAAGAACTATTTCACAAGTTCCCCTCCCTGCCACCAACAGATCATTAATCTATTGGAACACGGAAAATGAGTCAAAGAGGCCGCTGTGGTGGAATGGAGCTGACTTTTTTTTTTTTTTGAGGAAGATTGGCCCTGAGTTAACATCTGTGCCCATCTTTCTCTATTTTATATGTGGGACACCTGCCACAGCATGGCTTGATAAGTGGTGCGTAGGTCTGTGCCCGGATCCAAACCGCTGAAGCCCAGGCGGCCAAAGCAGAGTGTGTGAACATAACCTCCACACCACCCGGCCAGCCCCAAGCTGACTTTTTACAGGTACGTGGTTTTGATGGGAATGTGAGAAGGAACCACCGCCCTAAGGCAGCCTCTGATTTGCACAGCTAGAAACACCCAAGTTTTCTCCCCATTTTAAATTCCAAATTGATTATAATCTAAGTATAGTGTCTCAGTCAACCTTCATCGTCCATTCAGTTTGAAGGCCATTAACAGCCGCAGAGCATCCTGGCTCCCCAGCCAGGGGCAGTCTGTCTGTACGCTGAACTCCTGGAGTAAAACTTGAGCTGGTATCTCATTTCCTTCTCTTAAAGGGAAAGTAAAGAGTGCTGCATGGAAAATGGGCCTTGGTGGTGGCAGGATAGTGTCCTGCCATAGACAAACCTGGCATAGACTATGGATAGATTGGGGCTGGCGAGGTCTTGCATTCCTGGGGGAGCAGGCCGAGGACAGATGGCCCAAGCTGGGGAGCTTTATGAAAGAACTCTATCTGAGCCTGAGCGTCAGGGCAATTTTGACCAGCCCTGAGAAGTTTGCTTGGTTTCCCAGTTACTTCTTTGCCAGAACTAGGATGCTCTTAATTTTGCTTTATGATGGTCCTTGCCAGACAAGGGCCCCAGGATTCTCAGAGACTGAATGGCAGGTACCGTTGATGAGGAGCCAGGAGACTTGAGTTTTAGTCCCATCTCTACTATTTGCTGCCACCATCATGGAACAAGTCATCCAATCTGTTAGTTATCTAATTCATAACTGGGTGTAATTGTACCTGCCATGCCTATATTCCAGGGTTACTGTTGGAATCAAATTAAATAATAGGATACTTGATATGAATGTACTTTGTGAGATATTGTCTTCCTTATTCTAAGTGGGAGTCCAGAGGACCCAGTCTGTTCCTAGGGCAGGACAGAGCTGTCCTGACTTCCTCAGGGACTGAGAACCAGCTACCTAAGTTCTTCGTTTGAAACTACAGCCAAGAGTTAGAAAGATTGGTCATGGCATTCCACCTGAGGAATCTTGGAATGTGGCTCAGAGCTGGAAGAAGAGGAGAGGCCTGCCCTGCCTGACTGTGGGAAATTAGGCAAGCTGCCCAAGTAGACAAGCTTACCAGGGATGGAGCACAGAGAGAAAGAGAAGAGAGCCAGTTCCTAGGGAACAGGAACAGGAGGCGGCAGCAAAGGACTGAGTGATATGGCGTGGGCTCTGTCCTCAACCTAAAATCAGAATCCTGGCACTTCTCACCTCCACTGCTACCTTGCACATCCATCACTTGCAGAGGCTCCTCACAGGTCTCCCTGTTTCTGCCCAAACACCCTCTACTGTCTACCCTCAATGCGGAAGTCGGATTCTGCCATAGCTCCTCTCAGCGCCCTCAGCATCTCTGGAGTTCTTTCAGAGTAAGAGGCCTGTCTTGGCGTAAGCTTCCAAGATCACCCCTGTGAGGCCTCACCTCCCACTGCTCTCCCAGACGCCCACCTCACCATACAGGCTTCCAGGCTCTTCCGGGCTGTTCCTCTGCACCAAATGTTGTCTGCCTGGACTACTCCTTCCCTAATTCCCTGGAGATGCCTGGAGACTCACCTCACCTCACGCAAGTCTTTGCTCCTAGGCCGTCTTCACAATGAGGCTTACCCGCCCCCCAGTTAGAATGCCCGCAGGCTGCCCAGCACCCTCCCGAATGTTGATTCCTCTTGCCTCATTTTCCTTTTCCTGCAATACCGCAATACCATATAACTTGCTCACTTATTATGCTTGTTGTTTGTTTTGTCTCATCCCTCCTCCTCCCTCCCCTGACCAGAACATAAACTCCACAAGGGCAGAGGTTTCCGTCTGCTTCTTTTGACTGATGTACCCCAGCACCTAGAACACTGCCGGGCACATATCAAGTCCTCAGTAAATGTAGGAAAACGAGCAATCCTGTGGGAAGTCAGGGAGGAGGCTGTCTCAAGAAAGAGAAAGAATTTAACAATGCCAACACTTCCAAATGCTGCCGAGAGGTCCAGGTGAGAGCAGAGATTAGATGGCAGAGCACGGCTTGAAGAGAGAAGCATCAGTAGTCTGTCTGACTGAAAACAGATTATGAAGGTTTACCAGATGAATAAATGGTACTTAGTGTAGGGAAAAAAAGCGTCAGCAATTCATTTAAGAAATGCCAGGGTGAAAGACTGTAAATAATTTGGCTGCTAACTTGCAAGGGACACTAGATCAAGAAAAGAAATGTTTTCTGTTGTTTTAGTTAATATATTGTTTTCTGTTTACAAAATTAATTTGTGCCCATTTTGGAAGATTTGGAAATTATAGAAAACCCAAAGACAGAAATAAAATTCCTGCCTAATCCCATTACCCAAATAAAATCTCAACTCGGGCCAGCCCTGGTGGCCTAGTGGCTAAGTTCGGCGCGCTCCGCTCTGGCGGCCCAAGCTCAGTTCCCAGGCACGGAGCTACAACACTCTGTTAGCGGCAACGCTGTGCTGGCAGCCCACATACTTAAAAAAAGGAAAATAGAGGAAGATTGGCACGATATTAGCTCAGGGCAAATCTTACTCAGAAAAAAATTCTCAACTAATGATATCTTGCCCTTTTTTCTAGGCACAGGCATTTATAGTATTTCTGTTATAAGTAAAATTGTTTTTACAAAAATGATATAGCTATACAGGATATGACTACTTTGTATTTATATGTCTGTTTTGTAGCTTTATTTTTATTTAAAATTTTACTAGGAACATTTTTTCATATCTTCATATATTTTTGTATGACGTAATTTTTAGCGGCTGCAAATGATTTTATTCAATAAAGTCTATAATCAATTCTCTATTTGGACATTTAAGTTTTACCCATTTCTTTACTATTCTAAGCCACATTCTAAACCATGCTTATTATAGAATAAGCATGATTTTTCTCTTTTTTCTTTTAAGAGAAAGAGAAAGTAGATAGAGAAGTTGAAGAAATAAGATAAAGTCGAAATAACTCACGACAAAAGGTCCTGAAGAACTGGGGACAAGAGGAGAAAGGCATAGCTGCACATAAGATGATGTTGGTGGGTTCAGCCTGTCACCACCTGGACCCACAGTCAGCATCAGTACAGTCGTGGTTGCTTGATGACGGGTGTACATTCTGAGAAATGCATCTTTAGGTGATTTCGTTATTGTGTGAACATCATAGCGTGTATTTACACAAACCTAGATGGTATAGGCTATTTGGTACAGTCTTATGGGACCACGATCATATGTGTGGTCCATTGTTGACCAAAAGGTCGGGATGCACCGCACGACTATATCACTACAGTGGGACCAGAGGATGTGTGTGCCCTGTTTTGATATAAAAGGAGCACATGCCATCCTCTGTGGCCACGGTGCCAGAGAACCCTGAAGAGATAATGAAGACTGTGGAACCCAAGCCTCACTGAGGCAGGCTGGGGCTGAGGCCTTTGTTTCTACCAAGTTCCCCAGGAGAGTCTGATACCCACCAGTGTTTGAGAACCAATCAAGCCTCTTCAAACTTCTGATCTACAGGAAATGTGGGGCACAGAAGACAGAGTTAAATGACACTGTGAGAAATCAGACAAATCCAGAAAGTGGAGCATCATATAGGACATCCTAAACAATCTCTGCCAGCAGGCCATGGCATGGGAAAAGAAAAGGGGCTTGGGGAGCCAGCCTAAGATTTTAAAAATATTTAAGAGATATAAGAACTAAATGCAAACTGTGGGTATTGTCTGAAATCTGTCTTAAGCAAACCAATTGTGAAAGACATTTTGGGTGACAATAAGGGAAATTTGAATGTAGACTGGTATTAGATGATATTAAAGAATTGCTCTTCATTTTCTTTGGTGTAGTATGGTATTATAGCTGTATGAGAAAGTTTCTTTATATTTTAGAGTCATATCCCAAAGTATTCAGAGTAAATGTGACATGTGGACCTTGCTTTATAATATTTCAGCAGGAAAAGGGAACAAAAACATATGGAAAATGTGAGATAAATCTAGGTCATGGAAATATGGGGACTCATTTTAATATTTTAGTTACTTTTATATATATTTAAAATGTTAAAAAGACATGCAGGAGATTAGCCTTGGCAAGTTAGAGAGATCACCTGGCATGAGGGGAGACCTGTAGAGGGATGGTAAAGATTCTCAGGTGGAGGAGGAGATCTGAGGAAACTCAATGTAGCTAACCCAGTGACCACTTAGGCAGAGAGAGGGAAATGGAGAGAAGACATAGGAGTTAAAATAACTTCTACAGGTTGGGTGCTGTGAAGTGCTCACCTCATACAGATGACTAATGCCACTGAGGTCCAGGCCAAGACAGACACAAGTGGCAGACAGCTCCATCAGTACTTTTGTGGTTTTCTCCAGCAAAGTTTGCCAGCCTTGGAGCAAGATGGGGCAAAGTGGGAGTGGGGACTGGCAAATTGAGACGTTCAAAGAGCAAAGGTGGTAAGGGAGGGATTCTTGGGGTCTGCAGTTCCTTTTATGACTCAAGACTGATCACCTCATAGAGCTTGCTGGGCTTCTAGAAGAGCCCTGCTCTGGGGGTGTGGATTTGGGGATGGGGGACTCTGAGGTGGCCATAGCCAGTCAGGCTTGTGCATCTGCACTCATGTGGAGGTGTGTTTGGGGGGAGTCTTTGTGTTGCTTCAAGTTCCCTTTACACTGGAAAAGGCTGAGTTTGGTGCCTTTCAAATCCTGCTGGCCCAGTCTTTCCAAGAGCTGAGCCATGTTATTTACCCAACATTGATCTAACCAGTATTTAGCGAGCGCTATCTTCTAGGCCACACCCTCGTGCATCGCCCTTGAGGTTTCTCTAGATTAGCAGGGAGACAGTCTTGGAACTGTCATTACAGCACACACTGTACTATGAAGGTGATACTGTAGTAGAGTTGTATTCGTATTCATCTTAGACATTTTTAGGGTACAGACCTCTCTGAAACCTGATAAAAGTTGATTCTTTTTCTCCTGAGAAAAAGTGTACAAATACCCATATACAAAAATATGCATAAAATTGCAGGGAATTCACAACTCCCTGAGGCCAACTGGTAGATCCCTGGGGCTCTCTGGTAGAAGTTTTCACAGAAATGTTGTGGAAAGAGGCAAAGTGACAGGCTTGTCCTGGGAGACTGAGGAAGCCTCTAGAGGTGTCAGCTGAGCCAGGCCTTGGAGGATGGCCAGGACTTATATTCTTGACCCAACTGGTGGCAGAGCAGAGCCTGCCGAGCCCATGGACAGGAACCTGGGAGGAAGGAGACCGGGGGAATGACAGCCTCTGAGTCTAACTGGCCTCCGTCCCTGAGTTTGCCCTTTCACTGATGGCTTCAGGCTGGGAGTGTGCTGGGCTCTCTGACATGATGTAAGTAAGTGATGTGAGGAGGGTTGGGCTCTAGAGACCATCGGAGTCCCTGATGGAAGAACATGGTTTTCGTAACCTGACCAGATCTGGCAGAGAGATGAGACTTGCGTAGGACACGGAGGTAGAAGTGTCTCTCCGAGGGAGGGATCCCTGCTGATTGAACACATCTGTTTTGATTTGGTTCTCAGGCTGTAGATTCATTTAACAGATGCGGCCTTTCAGTGGGTTCAGCTTTTTATTCCCCCATCAGGCACCAATTTAGAGAGGCTTGGCTGATTCTCCGCGCTTGTTTGGCTTTGAGGAATGGAAAATTTGGTTCTTTGAACATCCCTCCCCTCAGCTGGTGGTTTGGGGTGGGGTAGGGATGGCCACAGCCTCACAAATAACTGCTGGTCCTTTCTCATCTTTGTTCCTCTTTCTCATTACTCCACTGACAGCTGCAGTCCCCTGGGGAAGAGTGAGAATGTTACAACAACTGAGTTTCCTGCTTCAGGCCCATCAGCTTCCAATAAGTGAAGACTCTGTCTGGCTCTACTTCAGCCACTGTAAGACGAGCTGCTGGCCACGGGGACTGTTGGGGCAGAGCTATTCAAGTGAAAGATTTAAACCAGCTGGCAGACATTTCGTTCTCTTTTCAGCAAGCAAATCCTGTGTGTGTGTGCGTGTGTGTGCACGTGCCCCAGTACACACACTTCTTAAAATTTGACTTCTGATCTTCCTATTTTAAATAAGAAGGTCCAGGAATTTTCTGATAGGTGGCATTAATACATAATTACAGAAATCATACCTGTATTCCCATTGCACTTTACACTTTTTTAAGTACTTTCACAGCCGTGACTTTATAATAGCCATGTGAAGCAGGCACAGCAGGCATTGTAATAACCCTATTTGCAGACGCGCAAACTGAGTTCCCTGCATATAATTTGTCATTACCATACTACTAAAAGACATCATAAAGCATTCTAGAACTATTCCTCTGCAATCTAGGTCATATACTTTGAGAAAATAGTTTCATCTTCTTTGCCTATCTGTGGTTTAGATACTTAATCTCCTAAATCATCCAATCTGGAAATAAAAGAAGCTAAGCTCACATTTTAAGCTGTATCCCTAGGTTAATCAAGTAAAGAATATTAAAAGCTAATTTTTTTGAGCTTTTACTATATGCCAGACACCAATCTAAGATCATTATGTTAACATAGTCATTTAGTCCTCATAGTAACCCTGTTATATATGTTTTACAAGTGATGAAAGAGAGGCATAAAGAAGTTGAGTAACTTGCCCATGGACACACAGCTAAGAGTGCAGATTTGATCTCAGGAAGTCTGAGGTCAGAGTCCAGAGAGCTCAGTGTTTGGGTTCGTCAGACAATCAGTAATTCAGAAGAGTGGCACTAAGAACAATGTCTTTGACTCAGGTCCTGGAGACGGGGTCAAAGTGCTTGGCCTGTTTCTTTCTTTGAGGGTGTGGGTGGACTTTTACTTCCAGTGATGACAGAGGGAAATTTGGAGAAACCTTTCCACTGAAAACAAATACAAAAGCTGGAAAAATATATATACATAATTTGAAGGCAAGGGAGAGCTACCAAAGCGGTGAGAAATTACTTGGTTACCATCCAAAAAAGGGAACCCAGAGAACTGAGCAAGGCATTCATGAACACTTTTCCCTAGAAAACATCTGCAGTTCAGAAGAGGAGGCTAAGAGCTGACCAGGGGCTAGGAGGACAAATTCAAGTCTTGGCTCACCAAGAGAGGCAGCCATAGCAGATCTCTCAGGTTTGAGTTGGGCTGCATCCTACGAGGAAGTATGAGCTAGAAATAGATCAGTTCTGACCCAACTTTGAATTATCTCAACCTACGCTTGAATTAAGTTCAGCTGGGATTGATAGTGCTCCTATCTACCTGCCAGAAGCAAATATGAACCTTCCTGAGAAAAAGATAGCATCATCCAGAGCCTCAAACTATCTGTAAAATTTTTCACATCAGTGTCATGCATACAAGTTAAAAAAACATGAATTTAAAGAGTCAACATGATTTTTTTTTTGAGGAAGATTAGCCCTGAGCTAATATCTGCCACCAATTCTCCTCTGTTTTGCTGAGGAAGACTGGCCCTAAGCTAACATCTGTACCCATCTCCCTCTACTTTATATGTGGGATGCCTGCTGCAGCATGGCTTGCCAAGCAGTGCATAGGTCGCGCCTGGGATCCCAAATGGCAAACTCCCAGCCACTGAAGCAGAACGTGCAAACCTAACCAGTGCATCACCAGGCCAGCCCCAGAGTCAACATGATTTTTTTTTAAATGAGGGAAATTACAGATAATAGTGGCAGACCCACAAATGATCCAGATAATGAAGTTATCTAACATGAATTTTAAACTACGTATAATATATCTAATTGCAATGATTGTTTTTAAAATGTTGCGTCAACCAAGCATTTCTAAGATAAACCCAACTTGGTCTTTTTTTTGTTCTTAAAGATTTTATTTTCCTTTGTCTCCCAAAGCCCCCTGGTACGTGGTTGTGCATTTTTAGTTGTGGGTCCTAGCTGTGGCATGTGGCACGCTGCCCCAGCACAGCCTGACGAGTGGTGCCATGTCCGCGCGCAGGACACCCTGGGCCACCGAAGCAGAGCTCACCAACTCAACCAGCTGCCACGGGTTGGCCCCTAACTTGGTCTTTTAAAATATATTGTAGAGTCAATTTGCTATTATTTTATTAAGTATTTTTGCTTTTGTTTTCATCATAGATATTAGTCTGTAGTTTTCCTTTCTCATAATATCTTCGTCTGGTTTTGGTATCAGGGTAATGCTGACCTCATAGAATGAGTTGGAAAGTGTTCCCTCTCCTTTCATTTTTCTGGAAGATTTTATGTAGAATTGGTATTATTTCTTTCTTAATTGGTAGAATTCATCAGTGAAGCAATCCAAATGTGGAGTTTTTCCAGTGGGAATGTTTTAAATACGAATTCTTTTGCTGTAATAGATACAATGCTATTCAGGCTATTATGTTTTCTTGGTTGACCTCTGGGGAGTTGATGTTTTCAAAGAATCTGTTCACTTCATTTACGTTGTTGAATTTATTTTCAGATGGTTGTACATAATACTCCCATGTATTTATATTTATTATAGTAAGAACACTTATCGTGAGCTCTACCCTCCTGACAAATTTTTAAGTGTACAACACATGATTGTTAACTCTAGGCACAACGTTGTACAGCAGGTCTCTAGAACTTATTCATCTTGCAGAACTGAGACTACACACCCATTGAACAGCAACTCCCCATTTCCCCTTATTAACCTTTTATTGTCTTTGCATCTGTAGTTACGGCCTCTCTTTCATTCCAGATTTTGGTAATTTGTGTCCTCTAACAAAGTGAAAATCAATGAAACCAAAACTTAATTCTTTGGAAAAAATACCATTACTAAATCTCTAGGCAGATTGATCAGGGAAAAAGATATATGACAGGGGACACACGATCTGCTCAATAGACGCAGAAAAGGCCTTTGAAAACATGTGACTTCCATTCGTGATTAAAACTTTCAGAAAACCAGGAATAGGCGGGAACCTCTTCAACCTGACAAGGGGAATCCGTAAGAAACCTACAGCTAACCTGATGTCTAATGGTGAAAGACTGAATGCTTTACTCCTGAGACTGAACAAGAGAAGGATGTCTGATGTCACTAATTCTGCACAACCTCGCGCTGGAGGCCTTTGCCAGCGCAATAAGCCAAAGATATGAAGTAAAAGGTGAACAAAGTGGAAAGGAAGAAATAAATCTGTCTTTAATCACAGACGACACTCTTTTCTAAGTAGAAAATCTCAAAGTATCTACAAAAAAGCTAGAATTAATATGTGTATTTAGCAAGGTCATAAGATAAAAAGTCAATACAAAAATCAATTTTGCTTCTGTATACTAGCAACCAATCCTTGGAAACTGAAATTTTAAAACACCATTTATAATAGCCTTAAAATATATAATATTAGGAATAAATCCAACAAGACGTGCAAAACTTGGATGCTGAAAATTATAAAACATTGCTGACAGAAATTAAAGAGGACCCAAAAAAATGTATAGGTATATCATGTT